GATAATTTGTAAAGGTACAGTAAAATCATACCGTGAAATGTCTTGTATCATCAAAAGCAGGTAAGCTACCATGGACTTGCCGCCAATGTAACTAGCATTAGCATTACTTCATCTATTTGTGTGAGCTAGATGGCAACTTAATAAGGCTCGCCATACAATTCTGAAAACAATTTTGATAGGCCTAGAACCGTATCATACAGTTATACTCGTATATATCCATGGTCAATTTAGATTAGGAACGCTACAAACTATAGTTCTACATGAGTCATGGTTCGAATCCCGTGGTAAGGTAGTCTTACAGTAAATATCATGAAAGTCTGTTGAGATAACCAAGCTACGCATGCTGCAAACAGAAAAATCAAGAAGCTGAGACTTCGCAGCGTTTGGACAGCACGTGTGCGCACGCAACTTGAATTTCGACGTGTTTTCACATGTTGGCGCCTATAAGGCACTAACTGTTGGCACCAGTGATTACTACAGATTAATCACTGGTGGGTGGGAAAGGCAAGTCATGAGTAGAAACTTTGATTCACTTAATCCATTTGACGGCAACAGATTAATTTTTTTTTACATACATAGAAAGACTGATTGTTGCTGCAGGATGCCAAGCTACTGCAGCAGCAGAACACAGTGGACTACTACTACTACTATAGAAACATTCAATGATACAGGTGTGTATCATGTTGAAAACTGCCCACGAGAAGATCCACGACCTCAAAATTGCTTATACCACCAGGAAGAGCATCTATGATCAAGGCAGGTCCTTGCTAACCAGACGAGAACCACTGTCACTGGGGCCCCGACACACCAAGTTCTTAAATTACTAATAGCATATCAGTTACAGTTTTTCACTGGTGTGTGCATACGGACTGTAATATTGAAAGTAGAATGTATATTGCCAGGCTGAAACCAAAAGTGTAGAGCTAGAAGTTCTATACGTCCGTTCTGTAATAAAAGTTCTGATTAGGGGAAATGAAGACACATGTACAGACATGTGAAATATCATCCTCATAAGGAACAATTGGTCGTCACGGACTGCCTACACCTAATGACGTAGCATCGCCTCCGGACGGTCTGCAGATAATGAGCAGACTGACATTTCCTGCCTTGCTGCGTGTAACTACAACCATTCACAGTCTCGTCGGGAAGTTGGCACAATTTCCTGTGCGTGGAGCAAGAATCCTAATCCTTAGATGTCGTAGCCCCCATTAATTTGGCCTCATCCAATTACGGTTAGTTTGGAACGTTCTGTGATCCTAATTGCTAACCTAACTGCGCCGGCGTGGGTGCGTGAGGGCCTTACTCAGCCGCCTAGATAAAAACGCAGAGAAGGCGCAGTGTGCAGAGAGAACGGGAGACATCCGTCTGTTGCAAGCCTTGGTCTACGGTGTCCCCACAAAACAGGTACGTGGACGACCATGTTATAAGTTAGGACTAGCTTAACGATGAATACTATTCCATATGATACTTATCTATGGGCTTTAGAATGATGGATGCCTGTTGTTTCAAGTGACTATATATCCCAGTCGCGCACATTTCTTGTAGCTTTTTTCAAGGGCGGACATTTCGTGTTTTGTGAACCATCATCTTGTTGTTTCTCGAATTCTAATGGTCGATACCCGGGCCTCTTTGCCATGTGTCTTTCTTCTCCACGGATATGAACATAGGATTGGTCATGAACTGTCTAAAACAGTTGTATAGGACTAAATTTGCTTCCAGTTTTGAGAATATCGGAAAATTTAAGTACAATCGTGTTGTGTTCTATAGTACATGGCTAACGACATGTAGGGCAAATTGGGAAAAAAGGTTTGATCCGCACATGGACGCGCCTGTCTTTGTGCCATGTAGGATTGCGCTCAGGAACATTTCCTGAAGGAGTGTATTAAACAGATCATCTGGCCGATAACTGAAGGATGCTCCACAGCATTTGTGACGCGAATGGCGGGCCGCTAAGTGCCCGAGGCCTTGGGTCAAGAGAAAGTGAATGTAGCTGAAGTGTCTGTATCCATATCATCTGATTGAGATCATGATTTTGAATAGGGCAGAATACTTTCAACAAGGATATTGATCTGTGAATAATTTCGCAGAATTTTTTGCAAAGAGGTTGCTGTATCTTATCGCTGGACATTGAGAAAAGCTACGAACTCGCTGCTTATTTCTCCTGGGTGAAAATGAACCCGTACATTTACCACCGAATGCAGTAGAATATTAATGACGATCCAACAGGTTGAAATGATGATCCCAGATACAAACCAATCTTCATGTGCTTTTCTAATACAAGCTTGTCAGTAACTATCACTGTGCCTTTCCTCAGTTCTCAACGTGTGATTATAGCATTTCTCGGATTTTTTTTCTTCAAGCGTGCGCGTTGTTTTTTGTCCTTTATTAAGTCAGACGAGTGACATGTTCCGCGCGTCCAGTTTAGAGGGGTATTCGCTAAGTCTTTGTCAAGTTCAAAGTCAAGATATGAAGTGCATTAAAAGAAACCATTGAAGTCATTGTCACAATGATATCTCCGGACAACGTCAAAGCCCTTTTAGACAGTGGCTCTCACGCGCCCACTCGTGCCGTACCTGGACAATGTGATGGGTCTAGTACGCCCATGGCTGGTACCATAAAAGCACTTTGGTTAATGGCAGATATGGTCGATGCATGTCGAGACACTTATACTTGACTCGCACCTGATCCTCTTCATTACACCAGATATTTATATCCCATCGTCTACCTTCTGTTATACCTTTCCAGTCACTTCACACATTGTAACTGAGGTACAATAACACTTGTACTGTACATGTGAGTTTGATACTTCCTTCTTATGTAGAAGGCTAGCATACTACACGTGAGGTAGAGCAGCATGAGTTACATTACTGCCCTTTCAGGATCTTCAAAAAATCCCTTGGCATGATTTGAAATCACCGCATTCTAAAGCAAGTTTGACTTTTGCAAACCATAAATCTATGGTAACAGTAGAGAATTCATCTCACATTTACAAAATTAATCCGACGTTTGTCCCTAAAATGTTTGTAAATTAGAGCATAAAGCCTATGATTCCGACATCCTTTCATCTAGGTAATGCAGTGGCTTAGGTTTCGTTTGAAGATTAGACCACTAATCTTATTTCACCTTTAATCTTCTCGACCCAATTCACACATGAAAGCTCACCAGTTGTAATAAACGTGTGCAAATAGAATTACAGGGGGAAGCAAGAGATACAGAATTGAATGAGCTATCATGGGCGAGGAAAACAATTTCTACATTTTAGAGCAATATTTGGATATGAATGTGTTGGAGAGGTTGGAGAGATTTGACTCAATATAGTTGATTGCAGGAAGATGTTGAAACCGCTGTTGAAATGTGTTGTCAGCTGTTATAGCGATGATAACGTAGTGTTGTTCTAGTGATAGTTGTTATAGCGATAGTGATCTATTCACATTACAAACGCATGATGGGCAACGGCCGCAGGCTTGTGAGCTTTAAACGATCTTGCTAATTAAGTCAATGCCTGCCTGTCACAGCTGTCCATTTTGAATGTTTACTGTCTTCATCAGTGAGAGAGCCATGGTGTGCTTTTTTAATTGCTTCTTTGATACCAAAGGGTAAAATGATTTAGCTCCGGTGACGGGGAGAAGTAAAAGCTAGCTTACGTCACTCAAGACCTTCGGCAACTTCACTCCTCCGGCGCCCACCTTGTCTGACGTCAGCATACGTTACTCCAGAACTTCTGACAGTTACTCATCGGCTGCCGAGCTCTCTGTCTCATCTCCCACTTCATGCAATATGAGCGTATGTCAGAAAGACTGAAATTGAATGTATCCGCCGAAATCAGTATCTTATATCAGCTGTAAGACCACATGTGATATTTGACAAGATGGCACGCACAACAGATACTGGTAAATAGACCAATGTTCAAAGTTTACTGAAAATAACGCACAGCCGATGGCATGAGAAAGCAACGTACGTTTGTTCATTCATTAGTTACAGTGTAGTATCTGGTTCATCTGCAGCGATTCCACACAGATGCATGAAAACCTTAACTAATTATGGCCCCTTTTTATTAGATGGATGTGGAGTTCGTATGGCAGCTGTCATGTTGAAGAAAAAGAAGTGCCATTGGCGATACTACATGACATTGTATATATACCCTATATGGCTGAGCTACCTTAACTTTCCACCTATCACACAATATACGCCACAGTAACGTGCATAGCCGTTCTTTTCAAGACGCACATGTACATTAGCTACCTCAAGTATCCTGTAATCCGTCTAATTGGCACAGATAACACTCCTAAGCTCATTTCTTGACATGAAGAGCTTACAGCTGAAGAGATTAGTCAGACCACCAACCAAAAAACACGCTATTAAGCTCTAATCATCCGGTTACGCGATGTTCAAGTGTAAAGTACTCGATGCAAATTGGAACTTGCTCCTGGAGGCATTGGCTGACTTATATCAACGAAAACATGTTTTCGGCTATCATAGGTTTCTGAGTGGTCTACGAACGTGAAAGTCTGGTACTCATGTTAGGAGGTAACTTCCTAGTGAGCCTGCGTTCCTGACGTCAGACAAGGTTCGAAATTCCACCGGAAGCAGGATGTGAGGTGTTCATAAGTTCTGTGATGAGTTTGGTGACTTTGATTTTACCGGTACTTCACGTCAGACAATGACGTTCTAAAACTCGTTATTAAAGGACGGTGTGACGTATATCCACGCAAAACGCAGGTCTCCGGACAAAAGCAATTAGCTTGGAAGTAGCGAAGACGACTTGTCATTAAACCATGGTGGCTAAAGTGTTACATCTAGCTTAATTACATGTTGTGACGTGATTTTGACGTCACGAACAGGAGATAGATATCTGATGTCTCATGATTGAACTTCAGTTGAAGCTGGCAACCGGCAGCTCAGGCACTGGAAGTCAACTCAGGTTTCTGATAACACGAATGCGATAGAGGTATTTCTGCCTAATTGTATAATATATAAACTGCGGTGTGTTTCTGTTCCAGAGCGATGAAAACGCTGTTGATATCACTGTCCATTGTGCTGGTGCTGATCCACACGTCTGAAGCCTACTCGTACTCCTACGGGTTCGCGCCGGGGAAGAAAAGAGCCGCCTTGCTCGGAGAGAAGATCCGAAGTCTGCTACAGGTAGCCATCCTTTTCTTCTTTCTTAAACATGTGGCTGGAATTGAAGGCTAACTATTCTGGTGATTTTTGTACCTCTATGGGTATATATGATACGTATTGAATAAAGATCTCGACATGGTTTATATGAAAATCAGTTGATGAGCTGCCAAAGCAATAGAATTTGATTACAAAATACAATTCGCCTGAACAGGCAGAAATTGGAATACATAATTCTGTGTCATTGTCTGTGTAGTGATCTTTCTTCGAAGATGTTTTTGTTGAAAACTGGGTGACAAGCCTTCCCGTTGCACGTCAGCCGCTGAATGTGGCAGCTTGGTCAGTCCCTGGAGTGATTACCTGTCGAAGTTTAAATCTTTGGCAAAAAGGGGCACGGGAGATGTCGATCGATGAGCCTACATTATGAACTTTTCTGTACGAGTAATTATCTTTATCAGTGAGATTTATTTTGACTTCCTGTCCAGCTAGTACGTGACCCGCCAGACGGTACCAATTTGCGCATTAGACGAAATTGCCGTAAAGGACATTTTGATCGATCGTCTGACAGCGTACGGTCTTTCTTCAGAGAATTCACCTCCTTAATGTAAAACATAACCTTACTGATAATCGACTTACATATAAGATTGGCCAGATAGAAATTAACGGTGTTGTGCTTTTTGAGGTGCGGAAAAAACGACTGGATATCGCACTGTAAAGATATAATGCCTTGCATATGTAGCTGATGAACTGTTGTGGTATGTATGGATGTTCTTTTTTAATGTTGAAGACAAAAGTGACAACAGAACTAGCTCCATGCAGCTAAATCTGTATGGCATTGCCCGCGAACGTTTTATGTCAAGGCATGGACACTGCACTGTGTTGAGCGCAAAGTAAAAGATTGGTGTAAAAAAGGTGTGGCACGAGGAAAGATCACACATGACGTGAATTCATCCGTCCATTCCTACAATCTATTCTCCTCTTTACAGAAACACAGAACCCAGTACAGTCCGGAGGGAGCGACACCACAGTCTATGGACGATGAGGTAAGGCCCTATCTCTGTTGTCTGAATGTCAAATGCATCTTGACAGACGAAGCACTCGTTTATCTGATAGTACTACGGTCAATTTGTTCAACAATACAAACCATTGGTTTGACATATGCTTTGCAATTGAAAATGGTTATAATTTTTTGAACATGCGTCGCGCTGGTTTTCAATTTCTACTGTATACTTACTGCTGGAAACTCCCATCATTTGACTTCATGGTTCTAAAAAGAAGTTAAACACGATATATTGAAAATGTGCTGTTCATTATGATCATTTTTCTGTTTTACTGTGTGAAGAAGAAGTATTGAAGATGAAGGTGACAGAAATCAAGTGCCCTTTCGTTATCAATTTAGAAACTTGGGAAAATTTCCCTGATGAGGTCGTGATCTCAATCTCCAGTAGTCAGAGGGGTCATTCTTATAACTTTTCAACGAAAAATCCGTTCAACTAACATCCGTCTCAATCACAGCACGGCGCGGAAACCAGCAAATTGACGGACACATGTAACCTTGCAATGTTGTACTGTGATAAGCACGCGCCTTTTATTGGAATCAGCGAGTAAATGTTATTGTAAAATATATAAGCGTAAGCAGCTGTGATGATCACACTGGGAGAGAATTCTTTCCGTGCTTTTGAACACGTTCAAACTATGCAATTTAAATCATACAGCAGTTGAAATGTATATAACTGTCTGCCTTTCCATCATTACCGGTCATTAGCGTTATTCACTGACTGATTTCCTCCGGAACATGGCTAGTTGAAGAACGTATTAAGTTCTTTACTGGAAATGTCATCTTTGATGTGAGTAATTGGGTGAGCTAGGTAATGAAGATCCTCAGTGAATCATGAGCATGTAACCGTTCTGAGTACGGTAATCGTGCCAAATTCCTACACAATGAGTGATTTCACCAGACGGTAGACCGGAATCCCGGCACTCTATCGTCACCTTAACGCTGGCTTTATTCCTGTTGGAAACGTGATAGCTTTTATATCGTTTGTGTTTTTACCTAACATTACTTCTAATCACCGAGCTGCTGTGTTTGCTTTTACACCTGTGCTGGTCCTCGACGTTCGGCTAAACATTGTCATAAAGCAGCTGTTTTTCTTGATAAAGAAACGCAAGCGTACATTGAGCCCAAACGGAAGCCCAATGGTACAATGGGCCCAAACCCAAAGCAGTTTGCTCTAGATTCCTTATGTTGCAAAGAGTTTTCATAAATGACATGACCCCTGCTGACTGCACATTAATGAACATCCCATCGTTAATATTACCAGCCGGTGGCGCTCTTGTCGTCTTTATTAAGTTTCATACCTTGTTGTTTATACGCATTTCCCTCCCGGATAACGTCAAATCACTTTACATCACTTTCCCCAGACATCACGGGGCCCGTCGACGTACCCCTTCCCTCTGAACGAAGCGGAACCAGCGAAGGGCCAGGACACGTGGTACTCCGAGCCAATGTGGGGAGAATCTCGCGGAGCCACGCGAGACTACAGCCCGGTCTTGCGCAGCTGGATTTCAGACAGAAGGAAGTAAGCCAGGAGACCAGCCAGGCGAACATGGCTCGGGCAATAATTATTTGCGAATGCCCCAGATTTAATGAGAACCGACGTCCTTGTTCTAAGTTAACACAACATGTCCATTTTGTTTTGACGTCCATTGTCATAACCGAATAAGGCAATCACACGTATTCATCAGGCAGTCGGACGATTTTAAAGAGAGTAGACAGAACACAACAGAAGTACATATTTTATGAAAGGTTTGGTTTATGTGAGGACATTATGCCTGACCCATCCAATGCTGTCAAACCTATTCGTAGTGGATGGATGATAGATCTCTGAATAAAGCATAATTTGACCTAATCTAGTGAGTTTGTCATATTGAAATCTCATTTACCCATTGCACCTCATGGGGTGGTGGTTCTGAGACAGAGAAGCAAATCTGACCACTGACTGGTAGTCACATTGTCTACAATTAAGAATCACCAGCAACATCCACACAAGGTTAAAGTTCTTAAGAATGCCTCACTATGACCACTATTCTAAGCTTTAATCATCATAAGAAAACTGCTCTTCCATACCCCCCCCCCATAAAAAAAATACTCGGACGAAAGTTTTAAGATCCACAAACCTTATCCAGCCAACGCTCCTCCTGCCCCAAAAGGGGACCTCTCCCAAGATATGCACTGGAATAAAGTTTGTCATTTATTTATCATTATTACATCATCATCATCAACGGCAAATGAAATGATGTTTTCGTCAAATTTCAGATTCGTGATGATATTTGTTCTGGAGCAATGCTTCAAGTAAAAATGGGCTTAGGCAAATAGTCGACAATGTTTCATAAACTGACAACCTGTTTTTCGATAAGAGTTAACGTTATTTTGGGGGGTTGCGAAGACGTCAGTGATTGTTATACTTTCATTTTAACCATATGAGGCAGGGACTCCTGTCAATGGTACTTTAAAGAGGGATGAATGTGCCGGGTTAGTGTGAATGTTCTTGGAAGTTCGTCGTGAGCGATGTTGTCCCCAACCTCCTATCCCACGGTGCGCCCAAACCCATCATGTCAACTCCCAAGGACAACGTTGATCGATATCTAGCTTGCCTTGTTTAACCCTATAGCTTTCCATAAGCGTTGTTTCCTCCCATCTGTACAAAATAGCTGCAAGGAGACCATTAAAACGCGCCAACTCTAACGGTAGCCTCCATGTTTAAGTAACCCATGAGAAAGCATTTTGCTCTGGTTGGATCACGCCAACGTCACGGATAAACATGAACCGTCGTAGATTTCGCTGTCTTTATCAAAGAGCAAGCTCTATCTGACTATCAATCATGAAGACTGTTTTTGTCCCGTTGGAAATATTACCTGAAGTACACGGCGATACGTAAGACTTAGGGTGTGTGCCTTAGGTAAAGACATCCGTCAACTTACAAGCCTTACTGGTCGGCCTGGAGGCCCTTCGCCCGCCCTTGGCTGTTTAACGTTATATCAATGTACAACTGCAGTCTTACCCACTGATACAATCAGATTCAAGAAGCCCGCAGTCTGCGGGAAAAGTCATCCTTGCGTTATATTACACCGACATTCAGCAACTTTTTCTATCATCCAAGTTCCTTCGTCTTTATTGATCGCAGGAAATTCCATTTGCAGAAATTCTTATTTGATGAATTACGATTCCCATATGATAGCAGCAAACTCTGGAAGAATTTGAGGTTTATTATGGTCAGAAGTACAGAATCTCAGCTTGAACGCCACGCCACAAAGTATTGAGATGAATCTACTTAACTGGACACTACATGGGCAGTGAATACAAATTTTAGAATTTCAACGGAAAGTCCAATGACATTCCCAAGTATGGGCAACATTGTACTAGCCTTTACCTTTGATACATTGCTTGTAAATTTGATCAAGATTTAAATGGTTGTAATGTTACCCAATACAAAGGCCAACATCGTTGTCGTATTAAGGTACAATATTACATTACTCACTGCCCAACGTACATGTTACAAATAACAATTCGTGTATCACATGTATGTGCCACGATGCCAGATTCTTGGAAATAGTCACAACAGTTTAGAAAACAACTAGAGATGTAACATTTGCAAAGCAAATGCATAATGTTTACCTTCGGACATGGTCTGCTCTGTTAATTCTTACTCAAATACATTCACATACACGTACTACTAGTATATGGTGACAGGAGCAGAGCAGACCATGAAATTGCAACATTATGTAACCAAACACCAGTCACCATAGTGACAGACGTCAACAAGCCATCTCATTGGTCAGGTCATAGATCACTGTTTGGAGAAGAAGAAGAGGAAGAAACGGAGCAAAAACAATATATTTTCCTTCGGTAAACATAATGACTGATGGTTTCCAGGGTTTCCAAGATGATCTCTTCCGTGGCTGAACAAAACACCCCGATATGCTCTGACTTCCAAGTGGAGATGGGGAGGGTATTAAGTAAAGACGGGGAATTTTTAAACTACCTTTGTGTATTTAACTTAATATGCAATTGTTTGTTTTGTTTGTGTCCGTACAGTCCGACCAATTTCAGTGTCGTCTGGATCTCCCTATCTCTGTCATTGGTACTTGCAAATTTAGATACAACAGACTTTCTTACATAACCTGGATCAGGAAAAATTATAGCCTTCCACTGGTCGGCAATCGTACATGCCTCGCACTGAAGGTTAATTTGGGTGCCAAAAGCCCACATGCGATCAGCCAGAAGATAAGGAACAGACAAGGTAAACCAGCGCGAACGCCGGCAAATGTTCTCTCGGTCTGGGTTAATTGATCCCATCAGAGAAAGAGCTCAAGGGTAAAACATTGATGGGTTTAGAAGCTAAAGAAATTCCAGCAAAAGCCCATTTTGTTCTATAGGGAACCACCTAGACACATATTGGATCAACGAGCTCTTTACGACGCTGTTATAGGCATCCATTTGTTCGTTAGACCCTGTAATTGCGAGGTCGAAGATGTAACAGTGCACAAGTCTGAACTAAAAGGGCGTTTGTAGTACTCAGACCCCAGGAGCCTGCAAACCTGGAGAAACCTCGGTCTGCTGGGCTCTCTAACTTTCCAGCGGTCTCGTGTGGATTGATGATTATTTCCCGGGGCAACATGGGCGGTCTGAGATAAAAGGTTGTGTTGGCAAAGTGACCAACATCTTTTATCAGATAACACAAAATATCAGTAGAAAATAGGCAAGATGAAAGAGAAAGAAAGTTCTTGTAGCAAGGCAATCTAGCATGTTCACATACTTTATAGCTCTTTTCACTAACAATCTATAACGTTATATCCTCTGTTCTGTTCACTTCTCGAAACGATGTTATGAACTTCTTGGAACATGTAACAATATTAATGGTTCTAATAAAGGTGCTGCTTTAAGAAAAACGCATGATTGAACATATGGAAATGGACTGTCAATTTTCCCAAGATAGTAGGATGGTGCCGGGTGATGCAAAGTACCGCAGGGGTGACTTCTGGTCATCTATGGTGGGGTGATCCTACTGGACCATGGAAGTTAAGATTAGTCTCGGACTCGTAATCTTTACATTTTCTAACAAAGGCGTGGCATTTTTCTGCCCTCGGACCGCACGTGACACGTGGCCATCGTTACTCCTCCTTAATTACAATCTCCGCCTGGACTTAGACGGCAATGTCAGGGTCGGTCCGTGAGACAGACCCGTATTCACATCAAGTATCCAGTATGACATGTAATTACTACTCTCCAAGCAGAGGTTGGAGGGGAATATTGTTACCTTTCTGATATGCCCGTTTTTTCTGTCGCTAAAAAACGGAGCATATTAGAAAGGTAATAGTCTTCCCCTCCAACCTCTGCTTGGAGAGCAGTAATGATGTCTCCACTCCTACGTCAACAAGTGCCGGGATCACGACACACCTGATTGTAATAGCTTTTTATAGATAACTCATTTTTGCTGGAATAATTTCTTGAAATTTTTTGCTCAAAACGAAGTAAGATTCAATCAGCACAGTTGTCAGACTGTGTCTGTGATGACTCCATATTGTAAATTGGCTGATCCACAAATCCTTCAGCAGTAGTTTGAGGTGCGGACACAGACGCCCATATCGAGCTAGTTCACATTACCTCCGACAAATTGGAGACACGCAGCTAGTCATCATTAGGGAACAGGCGCCATAAATACGCACATTTTGTCTTCAACTCATTTCCTAAAATGTAATCATCACTAATTCCGTTTACGTCAAAACTTAGGGGATTATCCTTTATCTTAGCAACAGCCAATCGCCTGCCAGCATTGTCAGGAAACTAAGAACTCATAAATCAGAAACCAAAAAGGGATTGGATTATGCCTTGATTCGGTCCATTACCAATCAGAAATTACTGTGATTTTGTTTCATTATAAAATTACTTTTTTTTACCGAAGCTAAAAAGGGATATGGATAATCTCATGAATGGACGTTTTCAGACCCGGACCATCGCAGATATTGTTGAGAAAGGAACCACTACGCAGAAACGAGGCATATGACGGAAATAGACTTGTGAAACTCTCTTAAGACTAAATCAAGGAAAATTGTCCATCACTGCAGACAGGCATCTCTATGAAGGGCACAATGTATCAACGTTATTAGTATATCAAAAGCAACAAGACACATTGTAGGAAACCAGCGGAAAAAAAACAATGCAAGATCGTTTCTTTGCAAATGCTCTTGGTGGCAATGACCGTAGAATAGAGGACTTCCAAAAATCCCGAATATAAGGAGACTAAGTTATACTATGTACAATACATGTGTGTGTTACCAGTATTAAGCAAAGTAGCCTGAACAATGACTCAGTCATTTATTGACCGCTCTTTACTGTTCTGCCTGGCTTGTTTCAGCATACTTCCATGGTTCTGTCGTACGTTATATATCATCTCTATGTTGATTTTGTCCCCATATCCCAGCTGATTCCATATCTTATTCCTATACGCGGTAGCACTGGTGCCCAGGCTTTTACAGAGATTAAAATCAAAAGTATATCTCGGATTCCAGCGTGTACTGGGAATTGTCAACAGCGCAGATTTTTCCCTTCTCCTACAAAACTCCCGTACTTGAGCACACACGGCTCTGTAATGCCGAACTTCTCCAAAAAAGTCATCACCTTGCGCCCGAATCTTTCTCCACAAAGACTGGTTGAAACGATGGAACATCATGAAGTCGACTGCGCTGTACTGTCGGTATGTCTCTGTCTCTGTTCGTGAAGGCTGGTAGTGTTTGAAAGAGTAGTTTCTACTGTTACTAGTACCTGACCTCAAAATGACATCTTGGAGCTCCCAGCACATGAGTCGTCTCAACAAGACGATGGACTCCTCCAGATGTTCGAGTATCATCACAAGAAGGAAATCTTGTTCAAGTTGATCTATGTACCGCCTGGCCCAGTCTAAATCGCCCGACTTCTCCAGGGGGTACCCCAGGTCAAATGCCTGGGCGTTTCGTGTCTTATCAAACCGCACCCCGTAGCTTAATGCCTCAGTCTTATACGGCCATGGGTTCTTGAGAAATGTCTGAAGAGGGTTTGTACTGTGACTAGTCTTTTTCGTCTTCATAACCCGCGATACGTGGTAGTAGTTAAAGCAGGACTTGAAATGGCTGAAAGGTTCCCGGATGATGGCCAGATAGGCTGTGTCGGGGGGAAATCTGGCTTCCATCCACGTCTTGTTGTAACGACTGGGGTGGAAAATAATATATTTATTTATTTATCTATTTATTTGCAAACTCATGTGCAAGGGAACACACACGGCTACTATAACTTAAGATGTATTTTGAAATGCAATATCATTCGGCATGGATCCAACCTAACGTTCGTGCAGTTTCATGCATAACTGTTAGATATGCTATCAACAAAACATCAAACCAGATAAACTATAGCTACTTTCAGTTACTGTTAGACTTATAAGTCATGCTGTTTTGCGAAAACAGGCAACTATTTAATAATTCATATACAACTGCCATTTAACATGAAGCTAAACATTGCGCCTAGTCTGGTTGGTGCAGCTTGTACCTATGTTGGTAGAGGGCGTTGTAGACACCTGTCCTCGGCTTGACGTACAGGCCCTCCCTGGGCGGTATAGGCCAGCTCAGGATGGGACCACCGTGTGCTGGCATCATCACCTGGAACAAGTAAAGCACTCACTCAGCCAATTTTCAATGAGGAAGTTATAAAAAATACACTTTTACATTAGCATTTTCTCTCTCCCTCGCTACCTAACTCACTGACCTATTCACTCACCAACCAACTAAGGAACCCACCACTTCTAAGTTCTCATACGTAACCACTAACTAACCCACTCACACACAGAGAGAGAACCTGAACACGGTACTTACCGTGAGGTTGTGGATATAAGCGTACTTTTGGAACAGGGGGGTTGTTGTTGAGGATCCAGACTTGTGAACTTTGATCCAGACAAAATTTTTCCTCGGTGAACAGTTGGAACTGCGGGGGTAAATGTTTGGATGTGTTGTAAACATTTTCATGAAAGACAGGGGAGCAAATATATTGACAGTGGATACGTACTGTGATATAAAAAAAACATTCAAATTCTGTATCATATATAATACCTATATGATTTTCTAAGACTACTTCATATGATATGCATATATACCATCTATCAATGTCTGACTTGTATGCATTATATTTTCATGTTTACGAAAGCCACCAAAGAAAACTCGTGTTTACGTTTATGGATACAGTCTAAGGTCAGTTAAGGACGCATCACTGATCGCTTGGAGTCGCTTCTTATTTATCTATTTATTACCACCAATGATCCTTGTTACCTCCAAAGACATCTTGTATAACGTCCCCAGTGTTACTACCAACCTGGATGATGAATTCAGAAGACGTAGTCCTGTGTTTTTCGCCGCCTTAATCGTTGAGTTTGAGTTTCCAGCCATTGGAAAACGTCGATACGCCATGTCATGTTTCCTCAGTTCTCTGTCAAACATGACGGCTGTAACCATCAGGCTTATACAGCCCACAACAAAGACTAGAACTGGTTTCCGATACATAGCAACACCTAGCACACAGTTACTTTTCGCAAGGTAGTTCCTGTCATGTTTTTGTGGGCAGGAACAGAGGAGGTCTCGTGACTAACACGCCCCTCCCTGTCATTATCTGTTTGACGTAAATATGGTCAAGATTACATCTGTAAGGGACGAGCCAAAAACATCCCCAGGGGTTAGGATAATGTTAAGTTCTCCCTGTTGTAGGTAGTAGCAAAATGTTTCTTATTTTCTTTTTCAACAGGTGAATTCTATTGTTGTTGTTGTTGTTGTTGTTTTTATTTCCATGGGCAAATCAATGTTTCGAACACCATGTGTACAATGTTTACTCTCCATGTCGCCCCGAGGCGTTGTAATAAGCCCCTTGACAGTTGGACAGGCACCAGCCCAAACGTGTCCAACCAGTAGGAGACAGACGATAACAAGTTGAGGGGCGTGTTGGGAACCCCTGGGTTGAATGTATCTATTTATCTATCGTATATACTTCATTTGCTCATTACGAGTGTCTACATCAGTTAAGTTTTAACCACCATGCGTGGATGGATATGTTTCATATAGCTAGCTGAATTTTGTACAGTCGCCGTTGATGTCGGCACAAAACCAAACGGAGAACTCGGTCGTGTCCCGGGCGGTGTACAATTGTCTACAGCATGACCTACGGGATCAGATAATTGGCCAATTCCGTTATCATGTGCTTCATGATGTGGAAAATGACCATTTGACGAGTTGAGCACATTATCTTAACTGGCAGTATAGAATATTAATGTCGGACACCCCCACGGCTCTCGCGTTTATTTGATATTTGATGTACAAAATGTATTTGGTCATGAAATATCAACATGGGATATAAACAGAATGCATATTTGTCAATCATCCTTTACAGAAGGACAAATTCAGGAAAACTTTCTTCCAACTTATGTCCCCTGATACAGTGAGAATTATAATACAGAACTCAGAGATCATTGCATTATTCATCGTCCCTGTATGTATGATAACGAACTATGAAATCTATAGAACAAGTCTATTGCTCTACTGGATATGGTTTTCATCGCACAAACCAGGGAAGATCCACACGGCACGTGCACAGGAGCATAATCTTTAAAGGTCGCAAACAATTATATGTGTAATTATTGTATTTTCTATTTATTGTTTCTTGAGACTCTTGAATCAGTAATCGGGAGTAAGTCATCGTGATTTCTTCTCTTTCGAGTCATCTCTCGTTGCCTTAAGAAACTTGCGCAAACAAGTTTTAGGAGAATGATTGTATTTTCAATTAATTGTTTCTCGAGACTAATCAATCAGTAATCGGGAATAAGTCATCGTGGTTTCTTCTCTTTCGAGTCGTCTCTCGCTGCCTTAAGAAACTTGCTGAGATGGAGTCTGGCGTTGAACAGTTCGCCTGTTGATCCTCGCGGGGGGTATCCCAGCTGCTGCCATGACTTACTCCTCCATTTTGGGTCATTTGTCTTCAGGTCTGTACAAAAACTACGTGGTAGCTTGTACTCCCTGTTCCACGGGGTGTCTGCAACGACCAGTACCTTATCTTTCCCCTTTTTGCAAAACTCACGAACTTGCTGGGTGACCTTTCTGTAATTCTCCACCTCCTGAAAGAAGTCCGGGCTCTGTTGTGAGATTTTCTCCCACAGCGATTGGTTAAACCGTTTGTACATGGCGTATTCTGCCGCAGCGTATTTTCTGTAAGTCGCCTCCTCCTCTGGCGTAGGTTTGTAGTACTTGTAGCCGTAATCACGACTGTTCCTACTTGCTGCCCCTAAAAGAACATCGTACAATGTCCAGCACATCAACCTCTTCAACAATATGAGGGACTCGTCATGATATTCTAATATGATCACCAGTAAGAAGTCCCGGTCTAACTGAGCGATGTATTTCTCCGTCCATTCCATGTCTTCAGATTTTTCCATGGGGAAACCCAAGTCAAAGAGCTGAGCATTTCTGGTTTTGTCCCAGCGGATTCCTTGCGACATTGCCTCTGTCTTGTATTTCCAAGGATTCTCCAGAAACTTCCTTAAAGGATTCTTGTCTTTCGTCTGCTTGATGCCGATTTTTCTGGAGACGCCGTAGTAGTGAAAACAGCTCTTGAAGTGTGTGAAGGGTTGTTTAACGATGGCTAGGTACGCCGTGTCGGGGGGGAAATGGGCCTCCATCCATGTTTTGTTGTAACGACTGTGCAGATCGGAAAATAGTCTTATCAGCAACAACACTGCAACCACAAATGTACTTGCGGCAATTTTCCACTTGACCGAAAGTTACTTTGTTATCTTCAAATAATAATAAAACTAGTCGATAGTCAAACTACTATATGGTACTATATTTTTTATCTTTGTAAATGCTTGACTTGCAACTACTTTGACAAAATGTTTAGTATACACAAGGTCGGAATTGCTGTCTATCTATCTATCTGACTGATCGTGACGTACGTACCTGTGTGAGTACAGTGCGTCGAACGGCTCGCCCTCCTTCAGCTGGACATACTTGCCTTCCTTGGGCGGCAGCGGCCAGCTGACAGACGGGCCATTGTGAACACCGAGTAAAACCTGGGCGCAGAAGATCAGGATTAGTGCTGAAATATGTAATGCGTTAGATTAAGACCTCTAGGATTTATGGCACCTGTGTACTATTGTTACTGTACTGTTGTAGACTGATATACACTAAGTATAGTTTATATAGTGTAGTTAAATACTGCACACTAAATAAGCTGTATGACCCTGACTGACCTTGAGATGGTTGTTGAAGGCAAACCTCTCGAACAGCGGCGTGGTGGTTTGTGAGCCAGCCTTGTGAACTTTGATCCAGACGAAATGTTTCTTGGGGACACAGTCCTTCGATGACTGCTGCTGACTCTTCTCTGACGTATTGTGACTTTCTCCCTTTTGATCCAGAGGTCCTGTGGACACGTCAGATCGTTTGTCCAACGCTAGGTGTTGTAAACTATTATCGGTGAAAGCCACGTCTGAGAAAGACGCCAGCCATGCGACGCCACCAAAGGCGAGAATGACCAGGAAGGCTACAAAAGGATCTTTCCTCATGTTTCTACACTTGAGACATCTGCTAAATACTGTCACAGTATTTGTAAATATTTGTTAGAAAGACCTGTAATCTGCTGGGGCAGGTACTACTATTGAAACGGGGGTGTTGGCTTCCATGAAGTCAATTTATGTAGACTTGTGGACCGAAGTTCAGTATGAAAGAAGTACATTTCTGCAGACGTACTCAATTGTAGTCATTTTATTTCGCATGAAATGTTTAGCTTATACGGTTGAATAGATTTCCCGCTTTGATTTTTGACAGTTAAAAAGTCGTGATGGTGCAGTCCAAAAACCAGTTGATCCACTTTGATGACGTCCAGTAAGACGGTGCGACAGCGGAACAAAGGTCAAAGAGCAAGAGTAAAGAACAACAACTGATGCTTCGACAACTATAACAGTGCATGTGCTCATTGACGAAGGAGCCCGTGTATTTATCATATTTGGTTTCACAATTCTATATCAACGAATTTTGAACATTATGGAAGAACCTAAACCAAATGTACTTGCCTTTAGATTAAGTATCGAATTTAATTTTTTAATCTATTTGAATAGATCTACTGCAAAGAATCCAGTACCTGACAGGGGTCGTTTCAAACACACGAACGTATAGTCACCGTGACGTTCAGTTTAGATCACTAGCCATTAAGCTTACGATCTTCTTCTTCTTTCTGATATAGATATTTAACAACCAATGGGAAGAATTAATATAAATTACATAATTGACTGGGAAGAAATAGCAAGATGATTTAATATACATTTCAAGAAACACTTATAGAGCACAGACGATATAGATATGTAACAACAGATATCTTATAATAGACAGCCTAGGCAGTCATCAACACATCTTAGGACTCATATCCTACCATTCGAAAATTAATGTCATTTATTATACACCAACGAAAAGTCCGTCTTGTAGTAATCTGTTATCGTGGTAATCATGATAAAAATATAAAGAAATATAAAGTTTCTTTGATGAGAGTTTTTTTGAGGTTGTTACACATTTTGTCGGAACTTTCAAAGGCACCCTCTATGCAAAAATTATAACATTTTGCGTTGTCTACTGTACTACAAAATTATGTCTTTCCCAACCCTCAACATGACCACAGATCTGTATTATATAAATCAACACTATCTTATTCAGTGAGCATACACGTCTCGCATAGTACCTATATTATTAGTTTCCTAATCTGTGATTGATCAGTCATCATCCCTTATTCTCCGCAGAGTCCTTTCTGGCCGCAGCCAGAAACTTGGCCAGGTTGGTCCTGGCGTTAAACGGTAAGTTGACATTGTGAGTCGCCGGGTATTTCAGCTGCTGCCAAGACTTCCTCCTCCATATCGGATCGTCCGTCCTCAGAACTTTACAGAAACTGCGCGGCAGCTTGTACTTGGGGTTCCACGCTGAAGCTGGGACGACTACTTCCTTCTGTTTTTTTCTCTTGCAAAAGTCACGAACTTGCTTGGTGACCTTCCTGTAATTCTCCACCTCCTGAAAGAAGTCCGGGCTCTGTTGTGAGATTTTCTCCCACAGCGATTGGTTGAACCGTTTGTACATGGCGTATTCTGCCGCCGCGTATTTTCTGTAAGTGGCCTCCTCCTCTGGCGTGGGTTTGTAGTACTTGTAGCTGTAAGGTCGGCTGTTTCTGTTTTCAGATCCGAGGATGATATCGTACAGTGTCCAGCACATCAACCTCTTCAACAATACGAGGGACTCGTCGTGATATTCTAATATGATCACCAGTAAGAAGTCCCGGTCTAACTGAGTGATGTATTTCTCCGTCCATTCCATGTCCTCAGATTTTTCCATGGGGAAACCCAAGTCAAAGAGCTGAGCATTTCTGGTCTTGTCAAACCGTACTCCCTGAGTCAATGCCTCCGTCTTATATTTCCAAGGATCCTGCAGGAATACCTTCACAGGATTCTTTTCCTTTTTTGATTTTATTTTGACTTTTCTTGGTACGCTGTAGTAGTGGAGGCAGCTTTTGAAGTGTGTGAAGGGTTCCTTGACGATGGCCAGGTACGCCGTGTCGGTAGGGAAATGGGCCTCCAGCCATGTCTTGTTGTAACGACTGTGTATGTAGAATATAGTTATTTGAATATTTACGTGTAATCCATAGACAGTACATCATACAACGTCATAAAACAAAACGCAAAATGCAATGTATAAATCTTAGATAAAGAAACACAAGATTTTGTGGAAAACGTCAAGAAAGTGTAATTTTCCTGCAGTCTATGTAATGTTTAAGATAGGCATACAGGCATATTCATGTAGTGGTGTGCCTTTTTAAGGCAAGGTTACATGTACGTACATGTATGTCATTCCTGAGATTTTAACAGTACAAGATAGTAAGTTAAGGCCAATAGTACACCTGTCTAGTGTGAGTATGATACGTTACTTGGTATAAAGTACCTGTGTGAATAAAGCGCGTCGAACGGTCCGCCATCCTTGGTCTGGACATAGTCCCCCTCTCTGGGCGGCAGTGGCCAGCTGACGGTTGGGCCCCTGTGTGCACCGAATAACACCTAAGGAAGAACCAGGCATGGCAAGGGGTGATTAAGGAGAGATTAAAGCTATCATCAGAAGAGATCGAAGATTTTACACCTCTGCAAAGTAATTATATTTGTTTTATTTACTGTTTTACTCAGTATTGAGGATTTATCGCTAATATTCTGTGCATTGTCCATTTTCCCAGCCTGTGGTAACACGGTTTTGGCCTCCGATTCGACATTCCCGACATTCCTGTGGTTACCAGATAACTACCAGATACGAGCAAAGAAACAAACAAACAAACAGACATAAAAACACACTGTTTATATAGTGTAGTTAAATACTACCCACTAAAATAAGCTGTATGACCTTCACTGACCTTGAGATGGTTGTTGAAGGCAAACCTCTCGAACAGCGGCGTGGTGGTTTGGGAGCCAGCCTTGTGAACTTTGATCCAGACGAAATGTTTCTTGGGAGCACATGTTTTGTTGTGTTGTTGCTGTTGCTGTTGTTGTTGTTGTTGTTGTTGTTGTTGCTGTTGACTGTTGTGTACACTCGGCGCCGTGTGTTGTGTGTTAACCTCTGACGGGTCCTTTGCTTCTGCTAATTGTTCTCTGACAGGTGGTAAGCAGGGTAAAATAAGTCAAGATAAATACAGAATTCACCGTTAAACTACTGAGATTCAATAACATTATTTTGAGTGTTTGCAACTTTAGGTTGGTCGAAAATAGTTCCTATCAAGTGCTTATCGCTCCAAAAAGGTCAAGAAAAATCTTGAACAAGTTTAGCATTAAGTTGTTTTGTACAACAAGTGATGATTACAGGCATGACATCTGTCGTGAATACGTGGTTGGCCGCATTCCGTGTGAATAGCAGTTGTCTGTAACTAACTCTTGCAATGAATACAACAGCAAGATACCCAACAGTTTGCAACACATAAACATAGTGCGATGAGAAAGGCATTTGTAGCCAAACCAACCTTTCATTTGAGCTCAGATCTACTCCAGCAGTATCACGTTTGTATTGCAGAGGTCCTGGTGACACTGCTGATCTCATATCCCACGGCAGCGGCCGGGAAACACTTTTAACAGATTCTATGTCCACAAATGAGGCAAGTAGGGCGGCGCAACCGAAGACAAAAAGGCCCAAGAAGGCAACTACTGAGCGTTGTTTCATGTTTGTACGATTAGACCGCCGATGGATATATTTTACAAGTCAGAAATTACTACGAAGAAGCGTTGAGGAATTTTAGACTACATCGAAAACCCTAAAACAATATGGGAACGAACCAGTCTTAAAAGGGGGGGGGTGCTAGCTCGTGAAAACGTTTTACACATAGCAAAATTACGGAATTCAGCATGAACATTGTTACCAGATATTGACAACTACCCCCTATCCTTAATAAAGTTGTATTACTATGAGCAAGAAACGAGTTTTGATACTTCTTTTTATTTGACATTTGATACAGCATCCATAAAATCGCCATGTTGCCCTCTGGAAAGACCAGTTAGTCCACAAAACACCTGTCACAGTAGGGCAGCAACCTACAAAGGTCAAAGGGCATTGCGTTTCAAGCATGGCTGATTTCAGGTCATAACAAAAACATCTGTTGCTTGAATTTTAGACTTAAATGCTACTTTTGTCTTATATCAAGTAACCAATAAGGCCAGTGAAAGCAGGCTTATTATTTTAGATATCAACTTTCCTATCAATTACCTGCATGAGATCACGAAGCTTACATATGTAGCAGCATGAAATAAAGAGAATGTAATATCTTATTGTTGTATCTTATGGAGGAATGCCGTTAAGAGAAGATCTTGCCATTGAAAAATTACTCTTGCGTTGAAACACATGAATGTAGCAGGTGTAACATTGAGTATGTGATGATGATTATGTGAATGTCATTAAAAGACGTCGCGCACTTGGTTTTTCCTAAATTACAAGTTAGTGTCCCATTACACACCGTCTTTAGTAAAACTACAAAGTCAAATATCTACAATGTGCAAACAAGTCTTATTTCACAACACTTTTAAGTGCTTACAATTAAGTGCTTTTAAGCTTAAAAGCTATGATCTTTGATTTTCTGCAGAGTCTTGCCTGGCCGCAGCCAGCAGCTTGTCGTGATACTTGCTTATGTTGTTGAAGTATTCTTGTCTCAAGAGGCGTTTTATACGTGGGGGATAGCGAAGTTGTGCCCACGAGTGTGTTCTCCATTCAATATCATGTATTTTCAGGTAGGTACAGATAGACTGCCTCATCTTATATTGAGGATTCCACGGAGAAGCTGAAATAAGAAGTTCTTGTGTTGAGTTGTATTTGCAGAAAGTGCGAACTCGCCTCGTCACCCGCTTGTAGTTCTCCACCTCTTGGAAGAAGTCCTGACTCTGCTGCCCGATCTTGGTCCAGAGGGACTGGTTAAATCGCTGGTACATAACGTACTCCGCCTCTGCATACATCTTATACCTCTTCAGTTCTTCCCGTGTGGGACTGTAGTGTTTGTACCGGTAATTTCGAGAGTTTATTCTCTCTTCTACCAACAGAATATCGGACAATTCCCAACACATTAATCTTTTCAACAATACCAATGACTCAGCATAGTGCTCTAAGATTATTACAAGTAAGAAGTCCCTGTCTAACTGTTTGATATATTCTTCGGCCCATATTCTGTCGTGAGACTTCTCAATGGGAAAACCCAAGTCAAAGAGCTGTGCGTTCCTGGTTTTGTCGAACCGGATGCCCTGATACAATGCCTCCGTCTTGTACTTCCAGGGGTTCTTGAGAAACGTCTTGACCGGGTTCCAGTCTTGTAAGTTGAGATGCTGCGGTAGACCGTAGTAGTGGAAGCTAGACTTGAAGTGTGAGAACGGATCTTTCACAATGGACAGATACACCGTGTCGTTGGGAAAGTGGGCTTGCATCCATGTTTTATTGTAACGACTGTGGAGACAAGAACGTTTGAGGTCATTGTAACGTCGACAAGCTGGTTGACATGACCTTACAACGTACGTTAACCTTTTCGAGATGATTGTAGCTATTAATGTTAAGTAATTAAAATGCTACAACAATAAAAGCAACAGATCAGCTGTTACTGTTACTTAATGCGTAACTGGTACCAGAGCAGACAGCGTACACCCGACTATTTCAGATATTTCTACATGAAAAAATCCGCTACCCCGCGGGCGGAGCTGGCTTCATGGAAATGTTCTATATGTTGTCACACGTACGAAGTCAAATGCATGTTAGCTTACCTGTGAACGTACAGGGCGTCGAACGGCCCTCCGGTCGGTGGGTGGACATACTCCGCCCATCTCGGAGGCCGCGGCCAGGACACAGTCGGCCCGTTGGAGATACCAAACAATAGCTGGAAAATACAACGATGTGAGGGAGAAGTGTTGGTGTTAATGTTGAGCGCAGTAAACTAACTAAATCAACATAAAAAGACATATAAAACTTGATGATGAGGATGCAAGCCAAATATGTATCTGACATAACATAACAAATCGAAACTTAAGATAGTAAAATAACAGTAACCACGGTAAGTTTAGCTAACCTTTGCACTTTGGCTGACTCCTATAATAAGGTTTCCGGTGACCGCACGGACGTTGGGTACTCTTTCAGTTGAATGGAGTCTGTCTCGGCCACCGAAATATCTGTTTGGAGATAAGTTCCCTCTACGGTAATGGTTTCCTTACTAATAGGTAATATATAACATATCTAACCTTGAGTTTGTGCTTGTAGGCGAATCGTTCGAAGATAGGGTTTGTTGTCTGTGAGCCGGCCTTGTGAACCTTGATCCACACGAAGTGTTTCTTAGGAGCGCACTGGTCCCCAGTAGCCTGGCGATGGCCTTCAGTGTCGACAATGTCTAGTCCATCCTCTACCACCGGCAGCCGGGAACGTTTTGTTTTATGACTCTTCACTGACACTAGGGAACTAACAGATTCGTTGTCCCTTGTGTAGCTCGTAGCATTCAATGTGGGGAATTGTTTACTGATTTTACCGTGGTCGTCGAATTTTTTGTCTGTTTCTTCTTTCAATACCAATGACTTTTTCTCATCATGTCTATATTTTGAGGTAGAGTTTAGTCCTGAGTGATGCTGTTGACTGAAGTAGATATGTTTACTGCTTAGTGTTTCATTTTGTCCAGAAATTAGCAGTCCAGTCCGCTTTGCCCTATCATCAACAGTCGCAGATTCTTTGCGAGGTTCTACTTTTAGCGTATCGTGTTCTTTCTTACCACCTGGGCTCTTCTGGAGGACAGAGTGTCTATATTGTCCTTGAGCCACGGGTGCAAATTCCTTTCTAACACTTGTTGACCTTGAATGAATATCTTTCTTTACAACATTTAGTGATTGGTGGTTTGTCAGATTCAGTTTCTGTTCTGTCCATATTTCGTTCTTTTTCTGTTCACGACTCCCGCTTCTAACAAATTGTTTGTGTCTGTCTTGAGTCTGTTGTGCAGAATTGTTTGTCTCCTTGATGTCTTCAGGCGGTCGTGAAGAATGGCTGTTTCCCCTCCCGGCGATGCCAGGTCTCACAGAAGGCTGTTTACATGTCGTGGCCACGGTAGACACGACGTCTGGACGAGTCTTCTGCAGGTCTGCTACTTTGTCGGCGATGTCGATTTGTTTTCTGAAACGATTCAGAACACTCATAAGATATCTATAGACTAGATGTTTTTTACATCCCATGTGTCCCTCGGGCATGAGTTTGCAAATAAGTATGTAGTACATGCATGACAAACAATGTCACTAAAACTTAAAAATACAGCCATCAGTCGTACGGCAAGCACAGGTGCACACCACAATAATGATAGGCACGTGCAGACTATTGTTGTCACTAATCTTTCCACCTGACTTTAACGAGTGTAGACTCTTGTCTACCGTAAAAGACTATTAGTCTACCGGGGATTTGTGACTCCCCAGGCCGGGCAAACTTATAAAGCGCCCGTAGTACCCATGGATATCATCGTGCTGTGCAGAGTCGCCAGAATCCAGGAAACAGTTCACCTCCTCACAAAACTTGAAGATAATAGGCTGTGATATCTGTCATGACAAGAACCCTGACGGCACATAATAATCAAGCCTTTGTCTGTCGGTTACTATGCCCTCCGCCCTCTTTGTGCTAGCACTGCTCTTTCCAAACATTCAGAAATTGTGTCCTCGGGGATTGGATGAAATGTGATTTATATTTCCCTCATATATATTGCATCTTTTTCTGGACAATAACAAATTATTGTAAACTAGAACCGAGACAGGGGAAATAGTAATCTCGTAGGTACCTAGCTATGCAAAGCTGCCTAGTTCTTTTGCCCGATTGATACTAATAGCTATTGTAACCATAAACAGCGCTCTGAATGCAATTTGAGCACCAATTAGCTTTAAGGTAGGTCTGCAAGTATGCAAATGCTTTAGCATTTAGGAAAGTATTCAAATGTTCGGAGCCATACATGCGGACACGATAGAAATGTCGATACTCCCTATGCTATTATGATTTTGTAACAGGAGAATAGTTAATACAGTCTGAGTTTGGGCTGTATTCTCCAACCCCATAAATCACTACTCAGTGTCTGCTGCACATGTACACATACCTGTCCGAGAATCCCAAGGAGTTCTGCATAATCGCGCCTCGCCGTAAGAGTTTTATGGAGTAGTCTAGATCTGAGCGTGCAACTTCCATATCCTTCCCATATCTGGTGAGGTATAAAATAAACGCCAACATCGAAGCACAGCTGAATCCGATAAGGTAGAAAAACGCCGCGAGAATTGTCGTTCTCATGTTGAGTACGCGTCCTCCCTCCCCCTGTAAGTACTTTAATAGCCTGCAGTCACCTGGTCAACAAAGCATGGACGATTTCAGAAATGTCAGGGCAATTCTTCGGCATGATCCATTTTGTAAAACGGGGGTGTGCAGCATCGATTTGGCGACCCTGCAAAGAAAGGGGTCAACAAATTGGTTTCTTCCTTCGAAACTGGTACAGAAAGTTGAAGATGTGATTATCTTTTCGATGCGATTTCTTTTGAAGATTGTTGTTGTTTATGTTTATGTTTAAAATGACGAAGACCAGTTGATATGGTGTTCTCGTAACCCCTGTTAGCACCTAGAAATTTGCCAACGTAAGGTCTGACGTCATGGGACAAAGAGAGCACATTAACATGTGTGCATGCCTTGCGGCACACGACTTGGCTGATTGAGCAGTGAGGTTATTGTACGTTTCGTAAGAACCAAAATGGGCGGGTGTTGCTGTCAATCTAGCACTTTTGGGTAGAATGACACTCGTTCACAATAGACAAGGCGCACAAAAGGAAATAATTGACCTGCCAAAACCAGCTGTACTGGGCCGTTTTCTTTTCCTATGGTATATGATACTTATCATTCCCAGTAACACAAAAGGGTAAAAAAAGTACAAATGCTATTCCCTGTCTTGTATAACCGAGTCCCTCTTATGTGTAGATTTTTACCCTTTATAAGAATATTTGC